GGTTGTCACCTATAAATATCAAAATTAAACGTAATAAACATTGGAAATACATTGGTCTGTGTGCATTGCATGAATATAATGTACAAGTTTCACGTTTTGAATGGAATTACTGAAATATCTTCAACCTTTTGATGATATTCTAATTTACTGGCCAGCACCTGTATATAAAAAAATCTGAGATTCAGCAGTTGCTGTCATAGCTCAGCTGGGAGAGCGGGTGACTCTCACTCTGGAGGATCCAGGTTTGAGTCCGGCCAAGGAACATAGAGTTGATGTCATAATATTCTTTCCTAATTCCTGTGATATTATTTTACAGTTGTGACCGTTCAACTGTTATTAAACGTCCGAATGTTTGCTGGGCAGTGTTTTAAAAAGTGCACATAAGCTAGATGGTTTTAACCAGGTAAAAATAGACTTGTGGGTGTAGGTATGTTCAAGTTTAAAAAGTTCTTGCCTCATTAATGTATTGTTTATTTTTTTCAGCATTTAATTGACAAATTATCCTTTCAAATAATTAATTGATGAGTTACATAATTGTCCATTTAGAATTGTTGAATGGACTGAGTCAAGTTTGGTGCACTTTATATATTTCAAAACATGTTTTTTTTAGTTATGCATATAAATAATTTTAATGTTAATTTATTGAAATATTTCTATTTTTTCATTACCTCACCCTTGTTTTGACAAAAACGGGACCTTGCTGGATAATATCACGGAGAAACTATTTGTTCACAGTACATGGCTCAGTGAGGATCTGTGTACCATAGGAGGAGATACTCAGAAATCTGTCTGCAGATTGTTACAACCCAGACTGGAAGTGGTGGGCTGTAATAAGAAAGGAGACCAAACAGAGGAGTGGGGGGTTCAACAACTGATTTATTTAACCAAAGTTTAGTAAATCCTTACTTTGGTTAAATAAATCAGTTGTTGAACCCCCCACTCCTCTGTTTGGTCTCCTTTCTTATTACAGCCCACCACTTCCAGTCTGGATTGTAACAATCTGCAGACAGATTTCTGAGTATCTCCTCCTTTGGTACACAGATCCTCACTGAGCCATGTACTGTGAACAAATAGTTTCTCCGTGATATTATCCAGCAAGGTCCCGTTTTTGTCAAAACAAGGGTGAGGTAATGAAAAAATAGAAATATTTCAATAAATTAACATTAAAATTATTTATATGCATAATTTAAAAAAACATGTTTTGAAATATATAAAGTGCACCAAACTTGACTCAGTCCATTCAACAATTCTAAATGGACAATTATGTAACTCATCAATTAATTATTTGAAAGGATAATTTGTCAATTAAATGCTGAAAAAAATAAACAATACATTAATGAGGCAAGAACTTTTTAAACTTGAACATACCTACACCCACAAGTCTATTTTTACCTGGTTAAAACCATCTAGCTTATGTGCACTTTTTAAAACACTGCCCAGCAAACATTCGGACGTTTAATGACAGTTGAACGGTCACAACTGTAAAATAATATCACAGGAATTAGGAAAGAATATTATGACATCAACTCTATGTTCCTTGGCCGGACTCGAACCTGGATCCTCCAGAGTGAGAGTCACCCGCTCTCCCAGCTGAGCTATGACAGCAACTGCTGAATCTCAGATTTTTTTATATAGATAGGTAGAGAGTAAAGTGTGGGGTAAACTAACCAATCAGAGGACAGGGAAGATCTGCCACAGGCCACGCCTCCAGAGTGCCAAAACTCCTCACAGCCGAGCGAGCGGAATTAGAAACCGAGCGCGCAGAGGCTGCCGAGCGCGCAGAGAGGCTGCCGCGCGCGCACGTTTTCCTCTGCCGTGTGCTCGTTGGCAACGCGCGCACGCAGGTTTGTCACTTGTGCACATCCTTGTGCGCTCACAGACACAGTTTGCTCCCTCTCAGTGCACAAATGACCTCTCGCCATGTATATTTTCGCTCGCGAGTCCCGTTCACGCGCGCGCTGCCATGTATATTTTCGCTCGCGAGTCCCGTTCACACGCGCGCTGTGGACCCAATGCGCGTGCACGGGTTGTGGCACGCTTTAAACGCCATACAAAAGAGCCGGCTCTCTAAAAAGAGCCGGAATTCCCATCCCTAATCAGGAGTGTCTGAGCAGGAACATATTGAAAACATTACATGTTCGTTAGAGCTACAAGGCTATTTGTGTATGCTGTATGAGGCGTGGCATGCTTTTCTCTTTGGTTTTCAGTAGGTCGTCTGTCAGTTTATAAACATGCTAAATAAGCGAAATGCTGTGTCATTAGGCTTCCGGTGCCCATCATTTTCTGTAAAAGTTGATGCAACGCGTCAGACTTTCTGCCAGTAGGATATTTTCCTAAAGGCTATACAGCACTTGAAGTGCTCATTTACTGCAAGCAGCATGGCATCTACCTTGCAAGGCTAGCGGATTAGCTCACGTAGCCTCGCTAACGCATGCAATGACTGCCGGCGAGCTCTTCCCCATTAGGTTGGCACATCAAAGGCGGCGGGAGAAGTTCTTCACAGGCAGTTAAAAGTGGGCTCAGTGTGGATCTTGTAAATACCGTCTTTGAGTCGGTGCCTCTCGGGGGACACTTCACACACTCCTTCAGTCGGGGAGAAGGGAGGGAGAGCGTAGCAGTGACAGGCATCAGAGGGGGAGGGAGGAACGGTGGTACGGGGTTGTGGGGTGTGTGAGCCCAGTCCCCTGTCACCATCAGGATGGGATCTGTGGATTAAAAAGAAAAAATCACTCAACACTCCTGTTTCTATCTCATCCTCATCCTCTTCTTCACACTTCACATGATAGCTGACGGTGAAAGTGGAGCATGGCTGTTTTCCGATTTTCTTTTGAGTCATGTTTTTCATAACACATAAATAGAGCATGCAGCGTCCTGGGAATTCTGTGATTCTATGTTTCAGTATAGACGGACACAATAGCATCCCCTCTTCTCAAGTGTTGTTGAAAACATTTTATCCATCATAGCTGTTTGTAGGGCTCTGGCGAGGCCCTCAACTCCACGAGGAGCAGGAAGGAAAAATATATTTCACTAGTGGCACACACACACACATGCGCGCACACACACACACACACACACAATATACACTCCCAAGACTATCATTGGCTGGTTTTGTTGGATGATCAATGCAAATGCTGTTATTTACCCAAGCCTGAAATGAAAAGACTATGGATCAATTTGATGCACTTCCATACGTTGTGTTTTCAATGGCTGGATGGGTTTTTGTCTCCGTTGAATCCCCTCTCCTTACTCTTTAGCCATCTAGCCTTCATCCTTTTTAGAAGAGACCTCTTCTGCGATCAGTAATGTTAAATATTCCCTGTCCTTCATGCACACAGTCCTTTGTGCATCCTCCTTTTCCACCCCCTTTCTGTCGTTTTTTTGCAAACGCGCCCACTCTTTGACATTAGGACTGAATATATCTGAGCTGTATGTGTGCATCCTTGCATGTTTGTGTGTGTGTGTGTGCTTTGGGCTGACCCACTTTCTGTGCTTGGCCAGGCTTGTGCTGCTGCTGCTGTCTGCTGTGCTGCAAAGGGGGAGATCCCTGCAGACTCCCCCCAGAACAGGCTCCAGCTCTCCTCCTGACAGACACTCAACGTGGCATGTTATCCCCCCGCGGATTGGAGACCTCAGCCTCTCTGTCAGCACATGTGCGTGCATGCGTGTGCGTGCATGTGTCTCAGATCCACCTTGATGCAGACTCACAAATTCTCCCAGAAAATGCATGCACATGGTGCACAGACGGCATTCTTAACCCCACACACACACGCACACGCACACGCGCACACACACACACACACACACACACACACACACACACACACACACACACACACACACACACACATTCAAGGCACATACCATCTCATATCTGTATAGTTTTAATTCCATCCACCCTCCTCAGGCTCCTCCTCCTCTCTTCCCCGTGTTTGTCTGGAGTTATTGTTTCAATCTTGCTGCATCAGGGGGCCCTGAAGGTTATAAATTAAACATAAATGCAAATGCGCTGAGCCATTGCCCTCCTCCACCTCCCTTTCCACACACACACACACACACACACACACACACACACACACACCCTCTGCTTTCAAACACATCAGTGTGTCTGTGAAGTAATAGGAGAACAGTGGGATTATTTTAATGAGCGAGAAAGGAAAATTAGAGTTGCAAAGCCACAGCGTGGCACACCCAGAGCTGCAGCCAAGGCAACGGCTTGAAAAGCTAGGCGCCATCATAGAATATGCTAATGCCCCAGGTCCCCTCGCTGTCAGCTTTATAGAGCCGTGCTCCGGCTTTGATCTTGCATGCTGATGAGCGACAGAGTCGTCGTGTGTTCAGAAAGCAGGAAAGGTGTGGATGTGGTTTCTTACTCAGGAAAGGTGTAATCTAGTCTGACACTTAACCAGTAGCACTAATCAGTGATCCGTAAATGTACGGTTGTCCTTTTCTGTCACCTGAGTGGATTCCCTCTCACATTTGCATAAAGATAGGATGTTAATACAATGTCTGCCCTATAAATAAACAGCCATCTGGTGTGTTTGGTGCTTTAGGCTGGGCCTGAGCATGCTGAATGAGACCATAGGGTCTTTGTAGTTGCACCATAACCGCATTATTACTTCATTCTTGGCCATATGGGCCCATCATAAAGGCGTAGGACTGGGAAAGGTCACTCCCCTTTATTCATCTCCAGTGATCGAGCTCCATTTGAGGATTTGAAATGAAATAAATGTAAGTTTGCATTTAATTTAGGTGTTTTCTACTTTATCATAAAGCTTCTGCTTGTACTAGCTCTGTCTCTCCAGCAGGGGTCTTCCCACTGTCGTGGCTTCATGTGAAGCGTCCCAAAAGCAGGGAAGCAGATGAAATCGGCCGCATGCTTTTAATGCCTCCAATCTTTAAATGATCAATAATCGTTATCTTTACCTCCATCAGTGGCATCTTCCTCACGTTTGTTCCCATCATCATCATTATCATGGCCATAACTCCCCCCTCCCCATCTCTCTTTCATCTGCAGCTCCCTCTGTTGATCAAATGCATCTGATCTCATCAAAGCAGACCCTCTGCTCATTCAAGTCCCAGCAGACACCCCGGCTTCTTTACTAAGCACTATTTTGCATTCATGTTTGAATTCCAGCGATGGGATGGGATATCTTGTAGACTTTAATTTTGTGTGGTCCTACGTTGCAGCCTGGGGTTATTTTTTTATATCTTTTGTTTTACTTTGAATATTATGTTTGATAAAGTCAAATCTTCAGAGTTAAAATGAAAGAACAAAGCTGCTAATTCAAACAAAAACCCCCAAAATGTGGATTCAGAACTCTGAGCTGCAGCTTTTCCTGCAGTCTCAGTAAACTGTTCTATAAGGTTATTTTATATTTTCTCTCTGATTGAAGGAAACCTTTGTTTTATTGTTGTAAATGAGCGTTTTTATGGCTGGAAAGAAGTGATTGCAGCGTGTTGTGGATGAAAATGTGATATTGTGGGATTATGCTTCCAAGTGTGATTGCAGTCTTATTCTGATTGCACATCGTCTGCGGCTGCTGTCAGGCTGCAGAGAAACTGGCTCCAGTCGAGGGACAAGAGGAGCTGGGAGAGGGAAAAGCAGACCTGGATAACGGAGGAGTCACCAGCAAAAACTTCTTTTCTGTCTTTATTTGGATGTGGAGCGATGAAGTCTCGTGCGTAAAATCAACATGCGCCGATTTTTATGACTTTTTATGACACAAAAAGCATCCATGATGATTAGGAGGAGTTTTTCGGCCACTTTACGTTTTTACTGAGAAAAATCTGAACGTTTGAATAGCAGTTGAAAGCTTAAAATGATGTAAAATTATATTTTTCATCTATACATTTTGTTGCGTTTAAATGTAAGCCATATGAGCAACAGAACGGAGGTTTAACCGCGCGTCTGTGCGTAATGGCTCCGTGCTCCAGTCCGGATTTTCCATGCGAGGGGCGCCGGAGCCCTGGAGGTGGATAAACTGGTAGAGCCCGCTCTCTCTCATGCCATGCTGGGCCACAAGGCTCCAGGAGACGCTGCTACATCTCACTGAGAACCGGGATGGAGGAGAAGCGGAGGGGGACGAGAAAAAGTTTGGTTTAAAGCTGGCAGAGCAACTTTTACCATGAAGCCGCGCTGATTCCTGCTGCAGCAGCACCAGGCTGGGAGAACATTTGTTTTACTGCGGAGTTTATTTTTCACCTCCAGCCTTTTTGCCTCTCTCCTCTTGTTTTATTTCTGAGTGAGAAGCTGGTCGGGGCTTGCTGTCACTGCGCGCTGAGATGCTAGAGTGACGATGGCTGCGCAAGTGGCATCGGTTCCGACCAGAACTAATAATAAAAACAAGAAACTATCCGGCGGGTTGGGTCCGGAGCTCAGTTCGGGGAAATCCGAGAGAGGAGGGACCGCGCCGCGGAGTGGAGCGACGCTGGGCGCAGATGGAACTCTGAATAATGTAGACCATCACCGCCGAACCGAGCTCAGCATGGTCCATTCAACTTCTACGACTCTCCTGGGTCCGGACGGTCACGACAAGGCTGCGTCGAACCCAAACCCCAGCGCCATGGATGCGGGTCTGATCGCGAAGCTAAAGTGCGCGGGGAGCGGAGAGCCCCCCCAGTCTCAACCGGCGCAGCAGCCTCCGCAGTTCGGCCAGTTTGCGCCTCACCAGCAGCGGCAGATTCATAGTAACAACACCGTGAGCAACAACGGTCAGCCCCCCCGCGGGGACAGGAGCGTGGATCATCAACATCACGGTGGTAAGGAGAACCTGTTGGGGGGACAGGGGGAGGCACAGCAGCAGCACGCGCCGGGGAAAGGTGAGGGGGAGCTCACCTGTAAGCCCGCCGAGAGGATGATGACCTCCAGGTTCGAACACTCTAACTTGGGGCCACCTGGCAACAACTCTGAGTTTAATAACAACTATTACCCCCCCAGGCCGTGTTATGACCAACATGGCGGGCAGCAGCAGCAAGGCGGCGGGATGGGGATATCGCACTCCACGGCTCATAACAGCATGGAGAACTCCCATGAAGCAGGGTACCACAACAGCCAATATAACCAGTACCCAGGGTACCGCGCGGGCTACGGCGGCGGGGCCTACGGGATGATGGCCCCCTCTGGATGCAGGCAGCCAGGTAACATGATGATGGGCAGCAACTCTTCGGCAGTGCACGTAAAGTCTCCCCTGGGAGCCTCGGGAGGCTTTCAGAGGTACCCGGGACAAACTCCGCAGCCGCAGCCGCAGCAGCAGCAGCATCCCTCAGGGGCCACGCCGACCCTCAACCAGCTGCTCACGTCCCCCAGCCCCATGATGCGGGGGTATGGAGGAGCATATCAAGACTACAGCGGCTCCACGCCTCAGCAGCAGGCCGGCATTGGTCTGGGGAAGGACGTGGGGTCTCAGTATGGAGCCACCTCGACCCACTGGGGAGGGCAGCAGAGGAGCCACCCTCTCTCAATGAACCCAGGAAACGGCGGACAAGGCCTCAGCAGGACGCAGGTGAGTCCAGGTTTCTCTGCAGCTTTGCTGTGTGTGGGTCAGAGACGGCCCCGGACCAGAATCAAATGTGCCTTAAGTCACATTACCGGTGCAGCACCGCGACTCTTCTGATCACCTATTCCAAACGGAAAGGGACAAATAACACGAATATTATCACTAAAAGTGAAGATTTCAGCTGTGCGCGTGCTCTTCGTGTTTGTTAGAGATAAAAACCAGTTGGACAGATTCTTCCCTCTGCCGACGTGGAGTCAGACACGTTGCAAAACGCCCTGCTGTGTTTCGAGACGCGCTGTGTTCGAGGCGTCAGTGGAACGAAGTCAAACATCCAAAAGGATATTTAGATGATCACTATTATTATAAACTGGATCTATCCGTTGGGATGTGTCGCATCTGCGCGCTCCATGCATCGAGCCGGCGCGCGCCAGTGCGCCTTGTTTACTCTGCTCAGGATTTGAATGGTGGAGGTAAACTGACTCGGTGTTGATTCCCAGTCTGCCATCTGATTGGCTCCATGTGGCCCTGCTGGGCTGTTCAGGGGATTCTGTGCTTTGGTGATGCTGCGTTCACGAATTATTGGAATATTCAGAGTCCAAGGTCATCAAATTGAATATTTTATTAGGACTATACCTTATTTGGTCTTGTTCTAATAATTCTTCAGAAGAAATTATTAGTCTGATACTCAGTTTAAAGCCAATAAATATGAATTTAATGTAGAAAATTATTTGTATCTGTTATTTATTTCTGCATTTGTCTAATATGGCGTCATTCTCACAAACGAAACATAAAAATGACTTATTTCATCATTTTTAAAGCTCTCCACTTCCCTCCAGCCTGGATTAAACACTCAGGTATTTATTCCAGCATCCCTGTCTCTGTTTAGGGGGGTGTTGCCACCAAACCCCCCCCCCCCCCCCCTTAAACTCGACCCTGCAACACTTCTGCTGTCACCACAGACAGACAGGAGGGAGGAGCTGCCAGTCCTGAACATCACATCACACCTTGTGTTCAGAAGAAACATTACTCTGCAGTTGTTGTTGTTGTTGTTGTTGCACGAAACAAGCACACGGCTGGATGGCACATCTGGACGACTGGAGGGTACGGAGGCTGAGCGCTGCTTCTACTCGTTTCTGTCTCTGCAAAACAAAAGCGCTTCATTAGCCTGCATTGTTTCAATCAAAGGCAATTTGTGCTGGATGCCGAGGAAGTGAGGTGAACATTTTAGCGTGGGAGGGCTTGCTGTTGAGCTGATTGTATTAAATTATGCTAAGATAGTCAAGGAACATAATCTAACTCCACACCACAGTGGTTATTAGGGACATGTTGATTTGTCTAAGATTTAAACACAGGTTCCTGTTTTTGACGTTTCATGCAGCCTAAAACTTGAATTACACATTTTCCAAAACAAAACATTACAGAAAATCAGAGTTTTACAGATTTTTTAATGCAAACAATTCAACTGTGAACACCGCAGTTAATGTTTCACTTCTTATTACAGTTCAGGGAATAAAAGTGATGCTTTTTTCACTTCTTAACTCTATAGCAACATTTCAGCAGCAGCAGCAGTGTATCTGTGCTACAAGCGCCCATGTTTAATTCATATTTGGAGCGGCAGCACTGCTCTCCTTTTGCCTGTGACAGGCTGTGTGAAAAAGCTGAGCAGTGTAGTGCATAATGCTGCTTCCAAATTGGCCCAGTGATACGGCTGCACTTCACTTCAGAGCGCGTTTGGTCGAAGCGCGCCTCTGTCACCTGTTGGCACAGTTTCCCTTCTTTCAAATTCAATTTCCTTCCTCCAGCGCTTCCTTCAGGAGCAAGCTGTGAGCGAAACGAGCGTACCTCGTTTACACTCCCTCCCTGAGCCCCTCCACCCTCTGGCCACTAACCAGAATGAAAACAGAACCACCTAAAGGTCGGTCGACATATTTCAAACCTGATTTCAAAGCTTGAAAAACAATCATTTTATAAAATTTGGACTTTTATTTCTTTTTTTCTCTGTTCCTCTCAATGCAGTCTGTGTTCTTTTGCCCCGCCTTTCCCCTGCATAATCAACGCTTTTCCGCGCGAGCTCCCTTTTACCCGGGAGCGTTCCAGACGCTAAACACAGCTAGCCCCGCGAGGTCACGAAATCACGAGAGAATCAACACCACTCGTGATTTCAGCATTTCACGTGATGACAAGCAAGGAAAGATCGGGTCGGAGGTTTGTTGTTCTAGTCATCTCGGCTATGGAGGTTTCACAGGTAATCGCGTACCTTTATCACAATTTAAGCAACTGGGAATCAGCACTTGGCTTTTATTTTGAAAGTGTGCAGATTTTATGCATTGTTTTTGTGTTTGACTTCCTGTCTGGCTTGAGCTGAACTGCAGAGCTTCACGCATTCTGGAAACGTAGGGGATAAAATAGACTCGAAGTGTAAGTCATGCGTCCTTATGCTGCTGGGACGCTAATAGGATGCAGCCGGTGGAAATGCACCCATTGCAGCTGATTTCATTATACAACAATTTGCAGACATTATGCGACGCTTCTGCGTCCGGTGGAAAGGCGCGGTTAGCGTCTCAAAAAGTTGGCTGGTGTCTTAATCTGCTGAGTCTACTTTACCTATTTTCACCTTCTCTTTTTAAGCTTTCTTTTCTTTTCCCCTTTTCTGTGATCAGCCTAATACAAGCATCACATTTGTTAACTATAGATCTTTGAGAAAAATTAATATGATCAAGAATCACAAATCAATATTGGTCTCCACTATAAATGCAGCTAATTTCTTCGTACAACATTTCACAGACGTTATGCGACGCTTACGCATCCGGTGGAAACGCGTGGTTAGTATCTCAAAAAATTGGCTGGTGACTGGAATCGGCACTCAATCTGCTGAGTCTACTCGGTCTATTACTTTTTCCTTTTCCTTTTTTTCTTTTCCCTCCTTTTTATTTCTTTCTTTCCTCCCTTTTTTAACCTTTTGTCTTTTTATTTTCTTTTCCTTTTTTTCCTTTTTTCTTTTTTTCCCCCATTTTTCCTTTTTTCTTTTTTTCCTTTTTTTTTGGTCTGCCTGATATAAGTCTCACATTTGTAATTTGTAGGTCTTAGAAAAAAATTCTATCATCAAGAATCACAAATCGGTATTGGCCCTCAGGACCAGAATCGGTGCATCTCTAGCCTCCAGCTTGTTTACTTATAACATATGTTTACATCTCATCGTGTGAAAACAACCCTCTTTTAACACACACACACACACACACACACACACACACACACACACAGTAATTAGTAGATAATGAGACCTGCGTGAGAGAAAAACTGTTGTTGCTCAGATAATTACAACAGCAACTCTTTTAAAATTTGACCTAATAAAATGAAAATGAATGAACAGTTTACACCAGATCATCACCATTTTGTTCAGTGTGTGTTTTTTTTTAAACATGGCTCGACTCGAAGCTCAGCCGAGCTGCATGTCAAAGTCCGGTCCCAGTGTCAGTCGTTAGTAATGTGCTTACCTTGAAATGATCCCTGCTCGCAGAGCCCTCCAGTGCATACTGTTTACATTTCTCTCTTATGAATTATTAGTGTGATTTGAACAAAGACTTTATAATGGGAGCAATGCATCAATGTCACTTTGTATTATGCAGCTATCTCAGGGAGTCTCGTGCATAGTGATGGGCCTGACTGTGGCTGCTGGAATTAAATTTATGGATCGTGTTCTGCTGCAGACAGCGAGTCCATGGGGTCTGGCCCGGAAACGGGCCTGAAGGTGCATCACTTTTACGTAGGGATTTCAATTTTCTGTCCCTCCTCTTTGATAATGTGAAGCACCAACGCCGAGCAGTCCAGCAGCCCTGCCCACCTCTCCTTCCCTTGCTCTCTGCCCCCCCCCCCCCCCCCACCTCCTGTCAAGCCTTTGTTTATGTTTTGTTTACATCTCCTTGCTGGCGGGCCGGCACCGTGCTGATTAGCAACAGTAGAGTGAAATTTTAATTTGCTCTGTTGAGCCCGATAAGGGCCCGTGCCGCGGTTTTCATCTTCTCCGGATGAAACGGGGAGTCTGTGTAGGTAATTGGCAGGCTGGGGTTATCCCTGGTCTGCCTGTGCATTCCACGAAACACCAATTCATTCAGAGTTTTTTTTATTTTTAAAAGAATTTAAAAATGTATAGTTGCATCCCGGATGCAAGTGTGTGTATTATTGGCTTGCTGATAAAATAATTGTGTTTTTTAATGAATTTAAATGACTGCACTCTGCACTCATCCCTTGCCCCGGAGTCAGATGTTAGTGCGTAAACGCCCTGAAGGGACGACTTAATTACTTGGAGAAGGTGTTGATTTTGTGTCAGCTGTTTTTCCCGCTCCGTCCTATCTGAGCTCTCAGTGGCAGGAACGAGGAAAAGGAAAAACCAAAGTGGTATTAGGAAAGGAAGATAAATGTTTACATGGGAAAATTGGCATTTTGAGTTTGATTCAATTGTTATTGGAGTAAGGCGGAGCGCTGTGGGTGCCCGGAGTCGAATGAGGCGAAGTGGATGCAGAGTGACTGTAATGTGTTTTATTGTGTTTATTGTGTTGTAATGATTAAATTCACAAACGTGTGTTTTTCTAATGTCATTTAGCACTTGTTAGAACTTATTTATAGCATTTCTCATACGTTTGGTAAAGTTCAGACATAGTTATAATAATTATTAGAGCTGTGTGATTAATTCCATCCAAACATTTCTAAAGAAATAAATTATGCGACTGTAACTGTAAATTACATTACATTACATTACATATTCTCATTACATTCTCTCTGCTCTGGATGAAACGGTCTTCCTGAAGTTAAAAGGTGTCAGAACGAGGGCAAAACACCCTGGCAGCACCATCAGTTATGAACCCCAGCAGCATTCATTTCCCACAGAACTCTGATCAAGCATGGACGCTAAAAAATACATTTGGTTCATGCTTACCTCGTCCTTACACTTCCAGGCTCCTAGCAGCCCTTCTCTGCTTTTATAGCAATGCTAGCTGCTAACGTGCCAA